ATTTAAGATGCTTTAAAGGATCTTTAAGAAAATGTACGGATTGGTTTAAAAAAATGTACGGATTGTACGGATTTTTAAAAAAAAAATTGTACGGATTGTACGGATTTTTTTTCGAAAATTGTACGGATTGTACGGATTTCTTCTGAAAATGTACGGATTTTTGTACGGATTTGTTCAAAAAAGTTTTGGCCACCCTGTATCTAATACCATAAATTTGTCTAATCTGGTTGTGAAAATAAGATTCGCCAAATGACATTGAGTAATAATATCTAATACCATAAAGTTGTCTAATCTTTTTTTTTCCGCCATAGTTTGTTTAATAAACATGCTTGAGAACAAATGATAGCTTTTTAATATGTAAAGGAAATAAATATGGCCTTTTAGTATCCTATACTTTGGTAATATTTTAACAAATAACTTAATTTTTGTTCAGGAAAAAGAAACTGATGTGGCAGCTGGGAACTATAGTTGGAGCTCCAGTTGGGATCGCTCTTATTGCAGGGATATCTGTTCCTGCCATGATCATAGGTTAGTCATTGATTGATTAATTGATTGATCCAGTTGGGATTGCTCTTATTGCCGGAATATCTGTTTCTGCTATGGTCAAAGGTTAGTCATTGATTTGATGGATTGGTCTAATACGGAGGGCTTTAAGTTATCTGTTACTGCTTTGGTCAATGTTCTTAGGTTATTCAATGATTCATCAATTCATTCATTTTTTGATTAATTGATTGATATTTAGGTATATTAATTATTTGGTAAATATACTGTAGGAGTGGCGTAACCCCCTAACTCAAATTTTCGCCAGAAACCTGGGATCATTAAAAAATTATATTTTAAAAAGAAATTCCCTGAACTAGAGACCTTAACCACCTATATATAGATAACATGGGCAGATTGTAATTGGGTAACAAAGACTAATCCTGAAGCTTAATGATCTTGAGAGTTCTGAAATTCTAGCAAACTTTAATAGCCGCAGCGCTCGGCCCAGATTTAATCCCAACCTAACCATACCCACGGTATAGATAACATGAGGAGATTGTAATTGTCTAGCAGTTAAATGTGAACAAAATGTGTGATTGTCTGTGTTTCATGGTTTATTACTTAATATACGTATGGATAGTGTTTATTGGGGCCTATGATAGAAAGATGGAACTGATCACGTGACCTAATGGTTTGATTTGAAAGTTAGGGGGTTACCACTACCCGCTTTAACGATTGACACAATTATTTATAAATATCTAGGTATGATTAATCAATTGACTGATGAATTGATTGATGGATTGATTGGTTGGATGATTGATTGATTGATTGATTGATTGATTGATTATTGATATATCTAGGTATAACTGTGTGGGTCGTTGATTGGTTGATTATTTAGTTGATTGATTGATTGATTGCTATCTAGGTATACCTGTGTGGGTTGGGCGGAAGATTCACGCACGGCATGTTTTCTCATCTAAGGCTCGCAGAATCACCGCAATATCGGCAGGAGTCACGTCTTCGGTAAAAATATCCTTGCCCCTAACCCCTTACATAACCTCCTCCCCTCCATCCANCCACACACTCTTGTTTTCGTTACTCCTGAATCTGCTCGGAATAATTTTAATTTGATTTCATAGTGTTATTGAATTATTTTGCTGTGCCCGGGCTTTCATGCTTTAATTTTTATTTCGTGGCTACGCAGATTTCATAATTTTGGTGAATATGTTTGGTTTGGTTAAAAAATTTGAACCCTCGTGAAATATTAAAATAAAGAACTTGCTTATTTGCATAGTTTTCTTTCGCAAAATTTAAAAATGATTTTGTTGAATTTTTATACTTATAACTTATAATTATAGATCCTTTTATATTTACCACTCCCACTAACCCTATATTTAAACCCTAATGAATTATCTAAACAAATTAAATATAGAAATATTAAACCAAATCTAAAAATATTAAAACCAAATATACGAGTTTAGAATTGGGAATCTATACTCTCCCCAGGGCTAGTGACGGTTTGAATCCTCAAAAGAAAACTGAGTTTCAAATGATCACCAGCAAACTTCTTCAATACTAATCTTCACAGAATAAACTTTTATCTTTATTTCTGAATTTGGATTTGATGGTGTATCAGTCAATAACCTGGTTATAATATTGTATCCTCTATATCTGTATCCTTATGTTCTCTTTTTTTAAATGTATCCTCGTATCCCCTGTATTATCTCTATCTAGGTGCTTGTATCCCCTGTATTATATGTATCTAGGTGCTTGTATCCCCTGTATTATCTGTATCTAGGTGCTAGTATCCTCTGTATCATCTATATTTATGTGCTAGTATCCCCTATTTTATCTGTATCTAGATGCTAGTATCCTTGAATTCCCTGTAGTATCTGTATCAATGTATCACCTGTATCCAATGTATCCAATGTATCCAATGTATCCAATGTATCTGTATTTATTTACTACTATCCTCTGTATTATCTGTATCTAGGTGCTAGTATCCCCTTTATTATCTGTATCCTTGTATTCCCTGTAGTATCTGTATCATTGTATCCCCTATATTATCTGTATCTATTTACTACTATCCTCTGTATTATCTGTATCAAGGTGCTAGTATCCCCTTTATTATCTGTATCCTTGTATTCCCTGTAGTATCTGTATCATTGTATCCCCTATATTTTATGTATCTATTTATTACTAACCTCTGTATTATCTAGGTGCTAGTATCCCCTGTATTGGCGGGATTAGCTGTATTTATTGGAGTCCCACTCCTCCTGGGATATGTTTATGGAGTTGTTCCCCTCTCTCTCTGTAGATCTGGAGGCTGTGGAGTCAAGACTACCACACAGGTAACAAATTTTTACAAAGAGAGTGATCCATATTTTTTTTAATTTGTCTTAAGTCTTGAATGACCAATATACAGAATATATTCGTTAAAGTTAATCTTAATTGATGCCGAGAGTAACAAAGGAAACCGATCAGCAGATTGCCTTATGTACATTATGATCCCATTCCAATTGCCTCTAATTGAATTTTTTATTGGAAACTTGTTTAAACGCGGGAATGTTCTTTTCTTCGCTTGGTTAAAGATTCTATGTTGACTTTTAAGTTTTATAGGGGAATTTGTTTCCAGGCAAAGTGTGGTTTCCAAGCTAGTGCAATTATTAAATTAATTGCAGTAAGTCGTTTTCTGACGAGTGTTGGACGATTTTTAATTTTCCGGGAAACGCCGGACATCTCAGTTGTTTATTTACAATCTTCATTGCTTAGGGTGTGCGGATAGAGGTTGATGAAGAGGCTCCGTACACCAAGGGACCAGTTGGGGAGCCAGGGAGCCGTGTAACTAATCCTAGTATTGGGGAGCTTAGTTTAGGAGCTTCATTGAGCATGGGCAGTGGGAGCCATTTAGACAGGTAAGATTTATAAAATGCATTTTAATGATTTAAAACATTTTTGTCTTCCGTTTTTCAAACGTTGGCAAACAAATTCTTTTACCTTTTTTACTTTTTTATAATCTTATTTTATTTAATATTTTTTGTTTTGTTAGACTTAACGAATGTGATAGAGAGAGTGCCAGTAATACGGCCATAGCTGGGTACAGTCTCACTGGATCAGTGGCTAGTTCATACTTGGGTCAGCACAGGTACTAGTTATATACCACTATAGCTGGGTACAGTATCACTGGGTCAATGACTAGTTCATACTGGGATCAGCACAGGTACTAGTTATATACCACTATAGCTGGGTACAGTATCACTGGGTCAATGGCTAGTTCATACTGGGATCAGCACAGGTACTAGTTAAATACAACTTTATCTGGATACAGTATTACCGGGTTACAGTTAGAACTAGAAAACTGTTGACTGAATATCGTCTTTGCTCTCCCTTTTACTTAAAACATCTGTAATTATTGTGTTATTTCTAGTTCAATATTTAATTCATTTGCAGAGATTCATAATCTATATTTTAATCATTAATTCTCCTTGTGTTGTCTAGGCTTGAGGTCGGAGCTGATGTTCATCCTAGGAAGAAGTTTTCCTTCTCCAGCGAGCGCCTGAGTGAGACCGTGAGTCTCAGTGAGAAATCGGCGACGGTTAGCCTAGCCGACGATGGCGGGGCGAGCACACGAGCACTAGCCGGCAGCTTACTTCAGTACAGGATGGAAAATACGAGTATTTGTAGTTATAAAACAGGTAATTCAAGTAGTATAACTAGCTGTAGTTGTTGAACTAATTGTAGAGGTTGAACTAATTGAAGTAGTATAACTAACTGTAGTAGTTGAACTAATTGTAGAGGTTGAACTAACTGAAGTAATATAGCTAACTGTAGTAGTTCCAACTTACAGTAGTTGTTGAACTAACTGTAGTAGTTGAACTAACTAAGTAGTTGAACTAACTGTAGTAGTTCCAACTTACAGTAGTAGTTGAATTAGCTGTAGTAGTTGAACTAATTGTAGAGGTTGAACTGACTGAAATAGTTGAACTAATTGTAGTAGTTCAACTAACCCTTGTAGTAGTTGAACGGGGCTCACAAAACTATGGAAAACAAAGACGACTATTAGACTCAAAATATGATTTTAAATGTTCCAATGAATGCACATAAAACAATGAAATTTGTGCTGCATCAAATACACATAAGATTATTAAAACGATGTCTTCGGATTTCGAAATTATTTTTCAGTTTAAATCATACAACTCTTTATGGATTTTTTCTAGTTCTAGTTTAAAATGGTCGTAAATTTAACTTCTCACTCTTCATGAATGCCGATCGGTTGAAAAGAACATTTACTAAAAATATTATAATACTGATCGCAACCTTTATGATCCTCATTTACAAAATAAAATTCATTTCACGGTTTTCCCAAGGTCGAATTTGTTTAAATTGGGAACATTCGGGTAAAAGATAAATATTAAAAAACATTTTAGAATAAAATCAAATATAGTTTACATTGTTAGTTTAAGTATTATAACATAAATATATCTACCAAATTTAAATTCTTTGATAAACTGCTCAGTTCAAATCAGAATTGAGAACTTTTGAATGACCAGAAAATAGAAATAGAATCAGCTGATTGTGTAGGTCAAGCTACCCCTGGCAGTAGTGGGAGTGGAGCCCAGGAGACAGATGGAAGCTTGTACAGGTATATTTGGTTCATTTAAAGGGACTGTTCGCGTCTTTTCAAGTGACCCTCCATGGAAAGAGTGCAATGCATGAGTCACAACGGTACCCTTGAAATCTAAATCTGGTCCAAAAAAAGCTAATGTCGTTTTCTTACGTAAAAAGTGTTTCTTTGTGAACTTCTCCATTGTTTCTAACCAGTAAGAAATTCGATTTTTACTTTTGCAAAAAAAAAACAAATGAAAATTAACAGTTTAAAGAAATAAAAACATGTAAATCTAATTCATACTGGTCAAAAAAATCTGTTAGGATAAAGAGCTGAAAACTTTAGTATGGTGGATATTGAGATTAATGCTTGATCCTCTCTTTGTCTTAATATCGAGACTAACTTAATCCTGTACTTGTATCTTGAAAAGTGTAAAAATTCAACCAATCAGAGTCGCGTATATGAAGCCGATAAATTTGAAATTTTGCGCGCCATATAAGATAATATACAGAAAGGGGAGGACTCTCTAAATTTTGAAAAAACCCGGTTTTTTATCTTTCTCTACTATATCCATGAAAGAACGGTTTAAGAAGAAAATCAAAAGTGTGTCCATTGGATACTCAGATTAAGTAATTGGGATTAAGGATATCTCAGTAATCAGTACTTTTAACTCACTTATAAAAAGGGACTGTCAACGTAATTTCTCGTGACACTCTTTTTTAGAAGTGCTGCCCAATTCACAATTCACAATGGTTCCTGTGAAATTATTATCTTTTCATTAATAGGCCAGTGTTTTCCATGGATATTTCATTTCTTCTTAAAATCTTTAAATCTTTAAGGGTACTTTTATGAATCGGTCATGCCCCTCCTAAAATGGCGGGTTACTTGATATTTAGGTCTATGGTCCCCCCATCCCTGTAATGATCTCACTGGTGCCAACTGGCATTTTTCTTCGAAAAAAGCGACTTTTCATTCGGGCTTAAACCTATAAACGTTTACTCTAGAATTGCAAAAACGTGACAAACCCAAATGCTTGAATACTTGAAATTTTAATACTTGAATACTTTATTTATTACTTGTACACTTTAAACGTTTGTTTTGAAGCTTTACAAATCTCAAAGAATAATACTTATCATTAGACATTCTTTAAACAAGTTTGTTTTATTGATTTTGATAATTTTATTCCAGAGTTAGAATTGAAAAGGGTCAACTCAGACCAATATATGTTTTCATATAAAAATGTTTAATCATCATTTGCTTTCTACAGAATTGTTGTTTGATATATGGCTACTGGCTAGTAGGAACTTAGGAAGTCCCTTAAACACTGATTGATTGATTGATTGATTGATTGATTGATTGATTGATTGATTGATTGATTGCTTGATTGGACCAATCAAAATTGTTAAATACCTTATTCATGAAATAAATTGTTTTGATGAATTTAGACAAGATATGGAGACGTGTCTCTACCCCAGCGGTGACGAGATATCGCTTCGGTCGCTGCCCGGTCAGCGGTCCCTGTCTCCGGTCTCTAATATGTCAGACGATGTTTCGGCGGCGCTTCGACGGAGTTCACGGCGGCGGGTTCTAGAGAAGCAAGCTAGTGAGGGGGAGGAGTATAGAACTGAACAGGTAAAAAGAAGTTTGTTAAGACATATACAAATTGAATAATACCTTTGCTTTAAAAGGAAGTGTAAAGAAAAAAATAAAAGGGGTATAGGCTGAACCCTAAGAACTTAAGGAGTTGATTGAGACCTATAAGAGATTAAGAGTTCTATCTGATGTTTCTGTCTCCTCTGTATCATGTGACTATGATACTGCACTGCCATTGGTGTGAGTTATGGTCACTTGATACGGACGTATTAATTATATTATCTATTATATTTATTAATAATGAAAAACTATTAAATTCAAATAATATTAGAATCAAACATGAGTTTTTCAGGCTCCTCTGGGATATCGTCGTTTTCAGATTGGTTGCATATTTGCTGAATATAATTTGTTTAAAACTAAGATTATATCATACTAAATTTTATTTATATAACTTGGGAGACCCGCGGGAATGTTTTTAGCTTGGTTTTTAGATTCTAAATTGAGTTGGTCGACTTATACAGTCAAAATTTAGTTAACCGGTAAAATCGTTTAAGTGCGGGTAAACGGCGGGAGCAACTTTTAGTAACCCTGGCAGCGCTGGGTTCCCTAGCTAGTCTTCCATATTATTGATCAGATAGAGGTTTAAAGGATAATGTCCCTTTTTTAAAGAGAAAAATATGAATTTACGTCGACAACTCCTTTAACATTTTTCAGGAAACTATTTTTTACTTTATCATTCTTACTCACTTCATCGTGAATTTTTTGTAGTAAACGCGCTATAAAGTAATCATCGTGCTATAAAGATAAATTAGCTGTATATTATACGTGCTATGAAGTTTTGATTGGTTCCCGGATTTTCTCCAATAAATTTAGGATATTTCCAATATAATTTTTTTTCAATTGAAATGAAAATAAAATTAAAATCAATTTTATTTTTTTACCTTTCCTTTTTTTCAAAGCTTATTTGATCTAGAAATAGCCATTGAAATAAGACAAGTACACAAATGTTTTAAAAAATTACCTAGAACACTTTTATTTTGGCACGACGTGCTATAAAGTTTTTGGACTTAAATTTTCTCTATAATTCGAAAGTTCTGGCCTTTTCAGATTATATTTTGTTTAAAAAGGCTTGAACCTTCTCGAAAAAGAGAACATTTTTGCCCAAAAACTTTATAACATTGCGAACCAAAACAACAGTGTTATAAATAGTTATTCTGGCATTTTATTATTTAGCGAATATTACAAGCTTAAGCTTTTTTTACATTTTGTGAATGGACAATTTCATTTGGATGATTGCAATCTCATTGTTTGAAAGGGGTTTGATGTAATGATAGTAATTCACAGATTCAAATAAAATATACATAAACCTACCAATATAAAAGATTAAAAGAACCATGAACCGAATTCTAATTCTAATAAGAGCTCCCTGTGTTTAGGAGATGGTGGAGAGGGTTAGGTTTTACTCCCATATCCCCTGTATAGTCAGGATACTAATACGAGCTGTGTTTAGGAGATGGTGGAGAGGGTTAGGTTTGACTCCCATATCTCCTGTATAGTCAGGATACTAATACGAGCTGTGTTTAGGAGATGGTGGAGAGGGTTAGGTTTGACTCCCATATCTCCTTTATGGACGGGTTTAGAACTACTCCTGTATCCGTGGATACAGAACTACTGGAGAGAACCAGGCTTACACTCAAGGTATAAATATATCAACAACACTCAACAGAAAATTAAACTAAAACAGAAAATTTCAATTAAAGTATATACAAACTACCAACTATTTATTATAGTATAGAAATGGCATAATTTTGGAGGCTCCAACATATGGTTCCTGGTCGTTATTACTTGGTTAAAATTTATTTAAAATCCCCTGTAAAGAAAGGAAGAGTATACCTCCTTGTTTAGAAAGGAAGAGTATACCCCACTGTTTAGAAAGGAAGAGCAAACCCCCCTGTTTAGAAAGGAAGAGTATACCCCCCTGTTTATTTCCTGGTCGTTATTACTTGGTTAAAATTTATTTAAAATCCCCTGTAAAGAAAGGAAGAGTATACCTCCTTGTTTAGAAAGGAAGAGTATACCCCCCTGTTTAGAAAGGAAGAGTATACCCCCCTGTTTAGAAAGGAAGAGTATACCCCCCTGTTTAGAAAGGAAGGGTAAACCCCCCTGTTTAGAAAGGAAGAGTATACCCCCCTGTTTAGAAAGTAAGGGTAAACCCCCTGTTTAGAAAAGAAGAGTAAACCCCCCTGTTTAGAAAGGAAGAGTAAACCCTCCTGTTTAGAAAGGAAGAGTAAACCTCCCTGTTTAGAAAGGAAGAGTATACCCCCCTGTTTAGAAAGGAGAGCTTGAACCTGAAACTTTAGAAAGGAAGAGTAACCCCTCCTGTTTAGAAAGGAAGAGTAAACCTCCCTGTTTAGAGAGGAATAGTATACCCCCCTGTTTAGAAAGGAGAGCTTGAACCAGAAACTCTACGGGAAGAAACTGCTGAAGAATTGGCTCAAGTTGTCTCACCATTGACTCACCGAGCTCAATCCCCTCTTTTTAATCAAGGAGAGTTCTCGCCCCCATCCCTCGCCTCACCCTCCAGTCCTCTTCATCCCTCATCACTCACATGCACCTCGCAAGTTATTAAGGTTTGTGCAATTACCTCAAAAATCCTTTTTTTCGAGAGGTACAGTCATCTCTATATATATACTTTGCTTGTCTTTATATTTTTTTGCTTGTCTGTTTGTATCCAAAAAAAAACGTCCAAACGGCTGAACCGATCGGGCCCAAATGTTTGTGGGACCTCGTATGACCCCAGGAAAGGTTTATGGATGCTCAGAATTACTTAAAGTTGTAGCTTTTTATTTTTGTGAAATTGCGCGAAAAAATATTTTAAAATCTGCGAACTTTTTCTTGTTATTTATACTTAACAAAGAGATGATGCTCTCAGATTCAGCCACTATTAAAAGTTAAAAAAGAGGATGGGCGCGAGTAAAAGTCTAGCAATTAGTAAAAAGTGGAAGTTTTATATGATATATCTATATATAAATTTGGCTTGTTTGTCTGTTTGGGTGTCTGTTTGTTTGTTTGTATCCAATAAACGTCAAAACGGCTGAACCGATCGGGCCTAAATTTTGTGTGGGACATCACGTGACTACAGGGAAGTTTTATGAATGATAAAAATAAAATAAAAATGTGTTTAAAAGTTTTTAATTTTGTACACAAATTAAAATTCTTGATAATCCGCGAATGTTTTTTTTTTAAATCCGCAAAAAAATTTTCTTTGTTTTAAAATGTAAACAAAAAGAACACGTTCACAATTTAAATAGAAGATCGCGCCCTAAAAGCCTAGTATTATATATTTATATATTAAATCTACAGCTTTTTTTCTAATACTTTTATTCTGCTTTAAACTGGTAATGACTGTAGTGTTTAGTATATTGTAAATGCATCTAATATTAATAAAATATTTTTAAGGAACGCTTTTTAAAGTATTAATGTTTGTTTAAATAATTTCAGATGATGGATTACTCTGGGCCCTGTTCTCCTGCATCCCCTCCTCCCCCCTCAAATACAACCTTCTCCCCTACTCTCTCCTTAAACACAACCTTTACCCCCTTCGCTCCATCTCCTACGGATGAATGCCCTCTTCTCCCAGGGGAGGAAGGAAGAAGTGCTGCTGTACAAGGCAGGGGTATGTTCGTAATGTATTTTTAGAATTTTATCACTGAATTGGTGTGGAAGGTGGGGGAAGATAGGGGGGGGGATATGTTAAGGGAGACTGAAAAGAAATATTTCAAGTATCTTGAAGGGGAAACGTGTCTGTTGACGTAACTTTTCTTTCAAGATCCTCCCGCCCCCCTTAAAACATATACTTCTGATAGAAGAGCCGAGTACAGAAGTTAAAGGGCGGAGTCTAGGAGTTGACGGCGGAGTTGGGCGGAGTATAGAAATCAGAAGGCAGGAGGAGGCGAATGTCACGAGCATAAGCATAGGTAAGAAGTATAAAAATAAGAAACGCCTAGAAAACTTGTAAGCGCTATCAATTTGTTAAATTATTAAACATATTACATGATTTGATACGCACACAGTACGACCCATAAAACTGTGGAAAGGAAAGACGACAGTTAGACCCAAGTTATGATTCTTAATAGTCCGATGTAGATTAAACACCACAATTGCACAGTGTACACAGACCCAATTGATTTTCAAGCTTAAGTGCATTTATTTCTCTCAAGTATAAAGTAATAAAAACTTAAGAGCTTAAGATCGCAAAGTAACAGTAATGTCGAATAAATTTAACATTGATTTAACACTGTTTTATTTGCTTCCGGCATTTTTAATTTGATGACTTAAACTCCGAACAAAGATTTTTTTGGGAGATATTTTTATACTTGATGAATTTAGGTCTTCAGAATACAGCTTACTTCAGTTGTAATAGCACAATGGTAAATATAATTTTTAACTTTAATTATTTTCTAGTGTACTTCCAGTATAATTAGTTCTAGTGTACTTCCAGTATAATTAGTTCTAGTGTACTTCCAGTATAATTAGTTTTAGTGTACTTCCAGTATAATAAGTTCTACTGTACTTCCAGTATAATTAGTTCTAGTGTACTTCCAGTATAATTAGTTCTACTGTACTTCCAGTATAATTAGTTCTACTGTACTTCCAGTATAATTAGATCTACTGTACTTACAGTATAATTAGTTTTAGTGTACTTCCAGTATAATTAGTTCCAGTGTACTTCCAGTATAATTAGGTTTAGTGTACTTCCAGTATAATTAGTTCTAGTGTACTTCCAGTATAATTAGGTTTAGTGTACTTCCAGTAGAATTAGTTCTAGTGTACTTCCAGTATAATTAGTTCTAGTGTACTTCCAGTATAATTAGTT